GGATAATGATGTCTATCTGCGGTTCCAGTCCTTCAACTCTGTGTCTGAGCTTGGAAGTTCTGTCAAAGAAAAGTGTCCAGTCAAAATAGATATTGGACATGTGTACAGTGTTGATGTAAGTTTTCTTGTTTCTAAACCAAATGTGATAATGCCGCTCTTCCCACCCAACTATTTCATAATGGCAATATTGACTCAAATTATTCATTGAATCATGCAAATATAAAAAAGGAAAAAATGTAGAAATGTGATCAAACAGTGCATAATTATAGATCGGAGACAATTTCAATCCATGGTTTCTTTGTTGATTTTAATTTACCTATGATTGGGTGTGTGATTACCTTGTACCACCATATCTCTCATTTCAGTTCTAATCTTTTGTATTTGCAGCCTGCAAAGAGGCACGCATATGCTCAGAGTGGCGATAATGTTTTCACCCCACTGGAGAGGGAACTGATTTTTGATATAGTAAGTTAATCAACCACTTAAACTTTGAAAATTGTCAATATCACAATCTAACTGAACTTTATACTGTTACTGTTGTATGACATGTTTGACTGGGTTTTCTCCACCAGGATATGTCTGACTACGATGATGTGAGGTACTGCTGTTCAGGAGCTGATGTTTGCTTGGAGTGCTGGCTACTTATGACAATTGCTATTAAAGTGATTGATACAGCCCTTAGAGGTAGGAACTTTGTTAATTGTCATCTGATGTATGTGTGGTTTCAATTTTGTAAATCTATTTTCTGCAGATGACTTTGGTTTCAGTCACATTCTCTGGGTATATAGTGGCAGATGTGGAGTTCATTGCTGGGTTTGTGATGGGAAAGCAAGAAGGTAATTCTCTGAACAGCTGTAATCTATACTTCCAATTCTTAGGTTCGTAAGACATGGTCATGAAACTCCAATTATGATCATTTTTCTGCAGGCTCACAAATGAACAGAGAGCAGCTATTGCTGACTATTTTCAGTGTCTATAGGTGGATCACTGTTTAAGGTACATTTGGCTTTTGAGAGATCTTATACGGTATACATTTTTGTGAAAGGTTTTGAGTCTATATTATTGTTCAGGGAATGAAAACAGTCAGAAAAAGGTTTCTTTTCCCGGTCTTTCTCTCCATCCGTTCCTTGCGTAAGTTGTCTCATGCATTATTGACCTTCTAATACTGGACCATTTGTTGCTTCCACTAAGACCTATTCATTCCTGCAGGAGATCTTATACTGAAGTTCTTACAGAGTTCTTTAAGAAATTGCTTTTGAGTCAAAAGATATTTTCAACTGAGAGAGATATGAAAAGATCTTAGATATGATTCCCAATCCTGAACAATGCACACGATGTTTCTTTTCATCGCGTATGCAATCTCTATGCCCTATCCTGGAATGATGGTCGAGTTATAGTACTTTATTTATCCTTGCAGCTATTACTTCTGAGCTTCGTGGAAGGTGGCAGGAGAAGAGACAAACCTCCGGTTCAAAAGAAGACATTAATGTTGTTAGATGGGAGCAGCTAAAAACTATGTTGCAATCTGGAAAACCTAAGGTACAAAGTAGCAGATGTTTGTGAGTTTAAGTCCCAAAGTACATTGTCCTGTGGCAATAGTTCTAGTCTTTTTTTATAGGATTTTGATGTTTTAAATTGTAGTTTAACCTCTTCTGTACTTAATTTCTCTTGATATCATTTATTGTTTAAGGTGCAAGGACTGCGTAGGTGCGTTGAAGAGATTGTGTTCTCTCTTACCTACCCTAGGCTTGACATGCAGGTTTGCACAACATCCCCACTTTCTTTTACTGCCTCCTTTTATTCAATAACTAGTGACTAGTTTTTAGTTTACATCCTTCTCTGATTCTACACTGGATACCATGTAATGAGTATAAACCAACTACTTCCGAAATATATGCTGAAAGATTCTTTCTTGCAATGTATCTGTATATGGCAGGTTTCAAAACACATGAACCATTTGTTAAAGGCACCTTTCTGTGTACACCCAAAAACAGGTTAGTCCCGGGCCACTCTTTCATATTTTGGGTGGTATCGGATATGATTAGTCGTATTTCTTGAAACTTTTCAGGCACTCAACCACTTTTTATGCTTCCCCCAATTAATAATTACTATGCATCTGGATATTCTTAATGATGCTCTATTTTATTATTTTGTTTCAGGTCGTGTTTGTGTTCCAATTGATCCAAATCATTGTGAGGACTTTGATCCTACTGCAGTACCAACCCTTTCCACTGTAAGTATCTGCTACATGTACAGTTTCCTTCTTCTCTGCATACATATTTTCCTGTGGCCATATGTTCTTGTGGGAGATTCTGTTCTTTTTATTTTTTTTGTCGAACTTTTCACAAAAATTCAACATGTAACATAGTAGATTTGAAATAATGTCAATACTTTCAAACATCTGCATTTCTAGGTTGTTGTACGTGGTCAAAACCTCTTTAAACAATTTTCCCCTTATAATATGTTCAATTGATACCAGTTCTCCGTTTTATGAATGCATACATTTCTAATTGTATCTTTTGTTTGTACTATCACTGAAGTATCTTTACATCTGCAATCCAGCTATTTTCATCCTATGGACATGTTGCATATAACATTGTTGGTCTAATCATTTCGGCAACACCCTCTTTGCTATTTCAATCTTCATGAATGAATGATCCAGATATTGAAAAATAGCCTGTTTTAGGGAGTTGGGAAATATGAGTTAGTTCAATTTTAATCTTAATTGAGCAACGAATTTTTGGCTATCTAACATTCCTTACTCATAAAATTATGATTTCTGTTCTACTGCACGATCCATTAGCTAGCTGCCTTCTTTATGCATACTTGCTAAGGCTGTCCGGTTAATGTGCAACATTTGAAATCATCCAAAAAGATGTTGTACATGCCTTTTATTTTGTAAATGCCATATGAGCTGCTTTTTTATTGCTATGCAATTCATTGTCTTTTAGTTTTTGGGTTCTTACATGATTATTTTGAATGCAGCTTTTAGAACAACTCAACATTGGCGGTTTGAGAGCAGAAGGTGATGCGTCAAGTAACACCGCTTATCTTTCATTTTATTTGACATCGCATCTGATTTAGCATAGGGGTTCATAGCCTCTCGGAAACATTGTGCAGTTGGGTGATTGCATTATGTATGATTAGTGAGTAGGAAAATGTTCACTGCACGTGAACCTGCACTAAAATGGAAAATGTTTTTTTTTTATGATTGATGATGGTATCATATATCTTTTCCTTGATCACAGAATGGGACAGAACGTCACTCGGGAAATCAATCAGGTTTTTCAGACCATCGTTTTTGCAGCCTCTGCTAAAATCTTGCAAGGTACATAACATTATATTAGAGTTCTCCTTTTATTGAAAAAAAATTGACCTATAAACCAGAATCACCTTCTCATTGCTGCCGTTTTCTTTGCTTTTTTGGGAATTAGTTTGAACTGTACCTCTGTCAAGCGAAACTGGCGTTATTCCCATTTCTTTACTTGATGAGCTACTTCTCTAGAGTAGAACACAGAATTCAACCAAGTTGTAAAGTTTAATTTTTCGGCATTAGTTTTAATGTGTGTATGAATATGCTTTTTTTATTGCAGGAGGAGATGGAAAGTTCATATAACGCGAAACTGCAGCAGTCGAAGAACTCCTTTAATTGGTAAAACTTTTTGCTGCTATCAATTCATGTTGTGAATATCCAACTTTCATGGATCTAGTTGATGTTAAAATTATAATTTCAAAAGACAATTAGGATTTTAACAAAGAATCGACATCTTTTAGCATTCACTAATTATTAACTTTTGGAGCACTACTCAGCATCAATTTCGTGTTTATAAGTTGTCGATAACATTTCATTTTAATCAATATAGATATCGGCGTTATCAATACAAGATCCGTTCTATGACATGACGATTTATGATTTCAACTACCATTTGTATAATTTTGAAGCAAACAGTATTGGTACTGGGTAAAATGAATTATGACGCCGCAGGGAAGTGGTATGTGTCGTCTCGTTCTTGAACGAATGATGAGTGAATGGAAGAGACAACGTGCACATGGTTTCTTTTATTCTTCAATAGCAAGCAATGGGCACAAGCACACAAGGAGGAGGACGACTAGGACCACAACCAAAACGAAGGAATTAGAGATAAGGCTTTGCTCCTTTCACCTACGTGCTCACCATCCATCACCTCTAAATAAGAATTTTGACTACTAAGGTAAATAATATCATCATCTAACAGTTATATGCTTATTGGATATCATTACAGCATAGATGATCGTCAATGATATAATAGCACTCAATACTTGTAGTACTGTAATAAATTGTGCAAGAAACTTTGAAATCCAAATATTTTGACGGTTCAAAATCTGACATGTAAATAGAATATTGAAGAGTTATTATTATTTAGATGTCAAATTGTAATTGTGGGAGTGATTGTTTTTGGGTAATAAGGAGCCAAGCAGTGATCCTCGTGTTTATGCATAGAGAGTTACACTAGTAGCAAATGATGTTTAAAATTCATTAATCGTCTTATTGATAAGTAACGTACATAATTAACAACTCAAGGTCCCTTAGGCCCGTTCAGTCTCTCATCCCGATCCTGTATGACGCCCAGACTCCGGTTACACAACAGAACCTCTCCAAATATAGCCCCAAAAGAACCCATAAGGATAACCACCTCTAGGCTCTAGTTTAAAACAAGAAAAACATACTCAGATAGCTCATCTTGTAGTAAACTACCAATTTACCCTTTCAAACTCTAAATACTAAAGCCACACAAAAGCAAGACATATAAGTACTACTGCTTATACACCTATAAAAGGGTCAAATGGTTCCTTAATGTAGATACTATCAAATGTATTAAAGTTTTACCTTTTTTTTTAAGATAATTTTTCACTGTTTTTAATTTGATTTACATGCCACCATAAGATTGGTTGGAAGGAGGCCATACATGTGCCATGTAAGCAAACTAGCACAGTATTTAATGAAAACTAATGACACCACATTGATGAGTGAATTTATTGATAGAGGATGATGAGTTTTAAACATAAGGGACCAAACTGATGACTTGATAAACATAAGAGACGGGTTATGACAAAAATCCGTTGATAAAATTAAGGGAAGATTAATATAAAATCCAGATTTCCCAAATCAAAATCCTCTTTCTAAATAGCAAGAACTTCCCAAATCAACTCTGGATCAAATGAAGGCATTTTGGCAAGTGAACACCCCTCAAATTCCGACTTCTCTCCCATTCCCAACTCCGCCATCCCCATTTGAAACTCTGTTGAAACAGACGGCGGCGAGTTCTCACTCCTCCAAACCCCGTCCTCAGACACGGTGGGCGTGGGCGTTAATGACACCATTTCGTGACCAAAACCTTCGCCATCGACCAAAGGCGACGGCGAGGATACCATCTTCACAACCTTCCCGTTCTCAGGGAAACTCCCATCACCACCAACTGAAGAGCTGCTCTTCTTCACTTTCTTCTTTGCTCTTTCTCTCTTCACCTTCTGGCAAATAGCTTGGATTTTCGCATCCACGGTGTTTTTCACAGCGTTCAGTCTAGAGCCGTGGCCAAAACCCAAATTGTTCGGGTCCTTGAGATTGGGGAAATTCAACTTCGCGTACTCTCCGCGGAGCTTGTAGGCCGCCCGGTCGTAAGCGTAGGCGGCGGCTTCCGCGGTGTCGTAGGTACCGAGCCAGACTCTCATTCTGTTCTGAGGGAGTCTGATCTCGGCGACCCATTTGCCCCAATGCCTCTGCCGTACTCCCCTGTAGAGCTTCTTCTTGCATGGAGCCATGTAAGTAGTTGAAGAACAAGCCGAACTCTGAAATGGGTTCCTCGCAAAAGAGCGCGAGGCCGTGGTGTTTACGTTTGCTCGGCTTTCGTCGCAGAACTTCTGGAGGAGGTCTCTCTGGCGGAGGTAAACTGATGAGCCCAGCGGCTCAGATACAGAACTGCCGCTGGTGGTGGTTGTCACGGTGGTGGCGAGTGTTTGGGGGCAGTGAGAGAAAATCGAGTCCAGGGTGTTTGTGGAGCTTGTTAGTATGAGATTTGAGAGAGAAGATGGGATGTCAATGGCGTCTGTGAACCCAAAAGCAAGGTTGTTTTCATGCATTATGTCCATGATATTCTGGGATAATAAACAAAATTGAAACAGAGTGTTCTGAAATATTATCAATGTGTAGGAAACAGGGAACTGCAAATAAGTCCCCTTCCTAAAAATTCAGAACAAAAAACGAAATTTTTGAGATGGAGAACAAGGAAAATGATCGGAGAAAAATATATGGATCAGAAAATATCAAAGATGAGAGCTCAAAGGGAGAAGCTTTTGGGTCTGTGAGAGAGGAGGAGTGAGATTTGTTTTGTTGGTGGAGTTTGGGGCAAGACTCGTGAATTTACTATGCTGAAAGGACGAATGGTGTTGCTATTTATAGCTGCAGTGTGTAATGTATTGATAGGATTTTTAACAGGAAATTTCGTCCACAGAATTGATAAGGAGACTCAAAAATAGACTTTCGTACACTCTTTGTAACCTCATATTTTTTACATAATATTGTATAATATTAACTTATAAATTAATGTTAAATTATGAGATGATAAAGAATTTATGAAGCACTTTGAGAGAGTATCCTAATCGCTCCTCTGTCCAATTTTACTCTCAACACATTTATTGAATATGACTATATTGCCCTTTTGCGTGGAAAGTGAGCCAAATTTCTGTTAAGAAATTTTTGTTCTTTCTTTACTTTTGGTTTAAGTCATTTGTTGAGAGATGAAGAATAATATTTTTTTAATAATAAGGATGGAGTGATAGTTGAAGAATATTTGTTGAGTTGAAGAAGAAGAGCTTCTTTGTATATTTTCTTACTTTCATTTCCCTATACAATCACAAAATTATGTATTGAATACTAATTATTGTTGATTTGATATACATTATTAGCTCATTAATTAACAATTTAAATTCTTTTAGCAATGGTCTAACATTGTATCAATGTGTACGTAAAAAATGAGACTACAAATATGCACGATGAAAGTGTTTAAGTTAATATCGTCACTTAAAAGCTTTAAAAGCTTGATAGTAGTGAGTACATGAGGCCAAAAATGGCTTTTGAACCGGCATAGTTTCTCCTCATTACCTTTCTCCAGTGGTTTAGTTCATTTGCTCGGTTAAAGAATAAGAGTTCCCTTACTTGTTTGGTTGTTTTCACTTTCGTGTGCATTCCCAAATTTCTCTTTTGAGCATGTTTAGCTTAAAATACAGTTGGCTTGGACCTTAACATATTAAGCTTTTGGGATTCAAAAACCGTTAAAATTTTAAATTTACTTGTTGACCAGAGGCAGCACAAAATTTGTCTAGACACCTATTCATATATTAAAAAGTTGTTAATACGAAATATGAGGTTATTAGCTTACTCGTGCAGAATTGTGATAACTTGATTCACATCGTTTTAGTATAATTCTCACAATGGTGAGTCATAACCCATGATCATTGAGTTTTATTTGTATTGAATTTGCTTAGGAAGGAATGAAAATTGAAGATTGAAAAGACAAACGAAAGGCTATCAAACACACAAGTGCAAAAATTAGGGCAAAGGAGAAGGGATAAAGGGTGATATTGTAATTGCAAGCAGGATCTAGAACTCCCAAAAGGAGTAATTGAACTGTATCTGCAAATGCAACGTTGTGGGGAAGTGAGTTAGTTGTTTGGTACCGTCGGTGGTTTCACACTCACTCACTCACTCACTTGGTTTGGTCCCCTCTTGCTCTTCAAAAGCTACTTTATCGATTTATTATTATACACAGTTCAGACAGTCAGCTCTTCTGTTAAAGTCCACACCTTCAATAACTTTTTTCTGCCACGCGTCTTCTGTCTTCTCCCTCCCAATCCCAATCCAACTGCACAAAAATTTCGCCTTTCCATCATCAGTGCTAAATATATTGCTGATTGATGATCATACCTTTTCATATAAAGCTTAATCATATCTGTCAATATTCACAGCTGGATCGGCTAACCAGGTAACCATTCCCTTCAAACGAGTTGTGCGTACCAGGAAGGACTTACTACATTTTAAAATATCATTACTGTAATAATTTTAAATCATTGATACGACGTTCTATATGTGAGAAAGTTTGATTCATTTTCTAAGCTTTCTAACGTTAACTATAAGAATTTGGAGCTTGATCCACTCGATCATCACTTCAAATGAATGTGTATGTGAAGATTGATGAATGACTTACACCTCGTGATACCATTTGACGTTTTGGATTAATAGTAGGATAATGTCAAGTAGGGAAGTTTGATCCAATTCCTAAGCTAATACTAAGCAATAATTAGGGTTTGGAATTGATCCTTTCACTTCGAACAAGTTGTGCATGTGGAGAAGTCTCTCTCGTGCATGTGTGCCCTGCTTAGCTAATAGCTAGGTTTGAAACAGAACAAATATATATATATATATATATATATTAGTTTTACAAATGTCTATGTTAATATAGTTATCAACTGTTGATGTATGTAAATTTACAGTAAAGTTTACATGTATCGAATTATTGGTGTTATTAGTACACACGTTAACAACTTTAGAATCTCTCATCAAGAATATCCGAACGTCATCCTAGTTATCTATTTTTTATCAAATATTAGACAATATGGGTATAAGGAGTAAAGTCTACTTCATTACGTTTTTTACATGATAAGCTCAATCAGTCGTCTTCAATCTTTGCTTTTTCCTTCTCACAAGATTAGTTTAATCTAACCTGATGTGGATTCCTAACTAAATTCTCTGACATGAAGGTTTCGTGCTCTAAGAAAATTATACTTATCCTAATTTCGAAAAGGTATGTTTGCAAAGAGCTTCTCAATAGCACCCAAAAAACCCACTTAGATAGAATTATTACACAATTTCTAGAGAATGTCAGTTAATATTCAATAGTATTATATATAGTAGGCTTTTCAGCTAAAATGGTCTTTGAGATTGACATAACTTCTAACTTTGGTCTCTGAGATTGACATAACTCCTAACTTTGGTTCCTAAGATTTGAATCGATAGAAGTGGTCCATGAATTTGTCTATCATTAATCATTTTAGTCTTTCCGTAAAAAAAAATCTTCAGTAAATAAGGATTTAGTGGCAAAGATACTCTCAATTTTTATCAAATCATTTTAGCCCCTTTGTTTAGCAAATTGAGGTATTTTGTCATTTTGATTCTTATTTAACAAAATTGTCATGGAATGACCAAAATAATTGATGGTAGACAAACTCAGGGACCACTTTTATTGATATCAAATCTCAGGGACCAAAGTAAGAGTTATGCAAATCTCATGGACCATTTTAACTAAAAAAACCTATATATAGTATGATCATTAGGGCATGAAATAATAAGAATGTAAAGTACCATAAAATTGTGAACTTGAATAATGGTTGGACCTTTTTATTTTAATTGCCAACATTGATACTTTCAATGTCTTAATCAACAAAATTAGGTTCAGATTTTGTTGATCCTTAAAAGTTGTTACATAAATTGAGGTTTACAGAATTTGAGGGGTAATAAGAAGCAAAGGGGGTAAAAAATAAATGTTGGAAGGTAGGTATAGATTTTACGGAACTTTAACGAAAAACCACATTTTTACATTAAAAAGTCAATCCTGATACTATTTACTTTATCCTTTATTTTGTCCTTATCGTTAAAACTTAAAATTTTCAAGCTCTTTTCCTTATCATTAAAATTCAAATCTTGTGGTGCAGCTGAAAGTTTGCAAAATCCACTCAGAGATTGGGTTGTCTTGTAAGTAAACCTAACATTTCCATATACCTTTTCAATTTACTGTATTCTCAATCAACCCTAATGGGAATCTATATGTGTCATTGCAAATTGAATTGATTTATGCATATGACTATACCTTTGTTTCACAAATTTGTACAAACAAACTTTTTGAATGTGTAGCCCTTAGGAGTTGGGAACTACACATGGAAGATGATAACTCATTTTCTTTTCTCCATGTCTACCCATAGCAAATAAAAGGGAAACAGAGTTGGTCATATGTCTATTAATTGACTTAATGACTAGAAGTACAAAGAACAATGGGTTTCCTTATCAATGAATTTCACTTTCAAAGTATATGTGGTTATCAAAATTCCATCATATAAGAGTCACAACAAGTTTTATATGCATAAACGGGTGATAATTACCTAAAGACGGAATTTTTCCTTAAAATTGAGACGAAAAAAAAAAAAAGTGGTGACGTCGTTTGATCTAGTGACAGCTAGTTAGAAACATTCTAAGTTTCCCTTTTATAAATCAATTGTTGTAAATTAAGAATTAAAAATTGATTGTAAATTCAAGAAAGAAAAGTATTAAAAAATAGTGATTGTGTTTGGGCCTGAAATAACAGTGTGGGCCGAGAATGGCCTAACCTGAGTTAAAAAGCCATAATCCTTGACAGTAATAATTATGCAGGCCAGTGGACTTTCAAACCAAGAGAAGAGTGATTCGACCGAGTCCTTATAGGATTAGGAATGTGAAAAGATTAAGTTTAAGCGTGGCTCGGTCAAGTCCTCAGTAAAAAATTGCCATAGATCAGAATAGGCTTTGGCTAGGTGCGAATTATTTTAAGAATCAGAATTCATCTTGATCAGATAAAGATGAATTAATTACATAAAGGGACTAGATTCAGAATCCTGATTTGAATCAAAGATGCTAAGACTAGATAAAGGTGAGTTTATGCTAAGGAAGGGATTAAAGAGGTAAAGAGAGAATATTCAGGTAAACACCGATGCACAAACAATCCTATCAGGAGTCTACCTCCACATACATGTTTACTATGAGGTCCCTCCTATAAATAGAAGAGGTTTTGCAACATGGAAAGCCCATTTAACTTAACATACAACTCAAATGCTTTATGCGAAACCCTTCTCACACCCTGAGAAAAACATTAATTATCCTAACTCTCCTGTCAACACAGCTTCAGTTTGGATAAGTAAACAGCACTGTGTTGAACCAACGACACCTTCAGTTTGGATAAGTAAACAACACTTGAGCCATAGAATCAAGCATCATATGAGCACCTTTAGTTTGGACAAGTAAACAACAATGCTTCTAGGTTGGTTGATTATCTATCCAAATCTCGGCAGGTGAATAATTCTTAATTTTTTTGCCCAAAGATGTCACTTCATTGACTTCCCAGCAAAGTGAAGTGTTCTATAACTGGTTAATCTCAGGTGCATTTTGTAGTTCGGCATTCAAACGGCTGAGTCATGTTCGCCATGAGGACGGACACTCATCTCCTTTGTGTACCTTTGCTCTTACACCCTGATACCGATTCGTCGCACCCATATTCTCACAAATTTAGTCGAGTCAACCAAACCTGGTGCAAGAGATCCTGAAGTTCGCAGTGAATTAGGCAACCTTGTCTTTAGG